ATTGATATCAACCCTAAGTAACAAATAACCCCAAGTACCACCGAGGGGTGTAGCGCACGCAATAAGTAGGCACTTGACTTAAAGATACATTATGGGAGATTAGATAACGAGTTGGCAGTTCTCACTATAATTGTTTAAAACTAGATAATGTAAAGGCAATTTGCTGAAAGTTTCAGTCAAATTGATCCACTATGAACCCAGAAATAAGCGATCGAAAGTTCCGCATAGCCTCGGTCATCATTACTAAAGTCGGTACGACAAAAATCATAGTATCCATTTAATCGTTATATCGAGAAGGAAAGTTATGCAGCAAATCGGATCATAATCCAACAGGATAGCGCTGACATCGAGAGTTGATTATGTTCTGGATACGTTAATTAATGTCTAATTAATAGTTTATATATATAACCTTTCGGTCCTAAAGAAAGACCTGCAATAGGCAGATTTAACTCTTGCATAATGCAAGTTTAAGTACCACTGGTAGAATTACGCGGATATTTAACATCCACAAGTTTGTCCCGAAAGACCTTGTCTGTGTTGGGTGGGCGTTTACCCCCACTATCCCCCACCCCACCCCAACCTGTCTCCATCTTGTACAATATTAATATTAATTTATATGAATCCTCTCCTACTATCATCAGAGTTCTGGTATTGGTTATTGTTTATGTGGTAGTTGGAGTTTCCATAAATAAATTTGCACGACACGCTACTGGTAAAGAGGTGGTACCAAACTATACTTTCTGGGCGGCACTTCCGGGTTTAATTAAGGTTAGTTTAAGGCTCTGCTACATGACAGGAAACATACCATCAAATTCCGTGGCTAGCACGACGGACATTATTGCCATGAGTCATCACCCACCTGTTTCCAGAAATAACCTGGATAGGCATTTCATGCGAAAGTTAAGCAGTCTGTCTGCAATTTGCTTCGCTTGAAAACAGACACGAAGCTGGATGACCGCCATTTTAATTCCTAAATCGACGATTATCTGGATTAAAGGGCGTATGGCTGTATTTTTTTGAACCTTGAAATAGACAAAAATGATTCTAAAAGCACATATTAATGTAATATGAATGTATAGTAAAGTGATTTATATTCAATTGTTGAAAGAAAAAAATATACTGTAATTTCTAATCAATTATGTTCGGTGAAATACTCGAATAGTTCTTACTGAACGACAGTCGTTTACGCCTGCTTAGTGCATTCTAGACGTTTTTTAAAATTATTGTATTGTCGTTTGTGAATCAGCCTTTGCGAATTACTTCCACATTATGTCGTAGGATATGTTTTTATTTGTTTATTACAAAATGGCACCCGAAACCATAAAATACACTGCTCGTGTATTGACTATAAAATGTTAATTGTGTCTTAAATATTGGATATTAGGATCCTATAGTTTCACAGAAAGATAACAACATCACTATTGATTGAAATTCATCAATATTGAATTCTAATTCGTGTTTTTAATTTCGAATATTATGGAAAATATTGAGTTAAGAGACTTAGCTCCTTTAAATGTTCATCTTTCACTAGACGTTTGACTAGTAAATTTGTTGGTGGCGACTTTCATGAGTATATCTTCTACTGCGTAGCTCCCAATTCTAAATTCCAAGTCAAACTATCGCACCCAACATACTTCTATCGAGCAGCCCCGGCTTCTGAAATCCAAGTCGGAACTGTCTCCCCAATAGTCGTCTACTTAAAACCCTCAACTTCTAAGTTTCAACCTAACCTCTGTCTCTTTGACAGTTGGAATTCGAAATAAGAGTTGGTCGTAGTTCCATTTCTCTCATAGTACACTATATGGCGTATGTATATCCGTCGTCCTTTGGCCATTCGGTGCAGAACAGTAGGGCGTTAAACCTCATTTCATTTCATTTCTCTCTCCTCGATTCCAAACTACCCGTCCAATTGGCTATGACAATAAGTAGTAACGGTTAGTCAACCATACATGAGGTAATATATGACATTCTTATAACCATATAATTGTCTGGGTTTTATGGCAACTTTTTTTTTATTTCATTTCAGGATGGTGTTTTGTTTACTTTCTCAGGATGTAGAAAGGGTTCTGGGACGACATATGATAACATATAATTTAAATATCACTTTCATTTTTTTATATTTTATTTATTTGTCGTTTTTTTGTTAGTAAAAACAATTTTTATTTCACGTATTTTGTTATCTCTCTCCTGGATTATTTTCGTTTCGCGGGTTTGGGTGGCCGAATGGCTTAACGTATCCACTTTCGATCATAAGATCAGTCTTTGGAACAAGTGGTGCGGTTTCGATTTCCCACTTGTACGTGACAAGGAGTAAGTTTTGTCCTACTGCGAAAGACCACTATACGTCAAGCGAATTACTGAAATAAAATTGAACCATATGTTAGTTACGAAATGAGCTATACCGAGGATGCTAGACTTTGCACCATTTTATTCCAGTCGTTCAGGTTCAACTTACCTGCTCTAGCCTGGAGGTCGGGTGTTCGATTCCTGCATTGGCCGAGAAAGTTCATCCAGATTTTCCGGCGTGGTTTCCCCTTGTCAATGATGCAGGATGGAGGGCCCGACAAGGACAGCCGTCTAATCGATCGGATGGGACGAAAAACCGAGGTCCCGTGTACACATTGGCGTGCACGTAAAAGATCCCTTGGCAGTTGGAATTCGATATAAGAGTAGGCCGTAGCGCCACTGCCCGGGCAAAATTTCCCTCATAGCACACTGTATGGCGTATGCCCGTCTTCATTAGCCCGGGCTAGGAGCAGAACAGTAGGACGTTAAACCCCATTTCATGTCATTTCATTTCAACTTACCTGTGCACCACAGAAACACAAGAGTTATCTCCCATTTAACATGTTAGAAACAGAATAGTTTATTCTATCTTAATCTGGACCCTGATTTCTTTTTATTAAAAATTGATTTTAACATGTATAGGGGTGTTGTTTGGTGGGAACATGAGAATAAAGCTGGGGGTAAGAACTTTTGAAAGTTGGTGTTTCATTTCTGTATTTTATACACCCCCACCTTCAAAACAACGGGACATTGCCCGGCTGCTCAAATCTTTTCACGTCGTCTGGGCTGACATGGTTCAACTGCCAAAAACGTAGTGGAGGTATAGTTATACAGTTACAGAGCTCATTTATTCATTCCCCAGGTTAAGTACGAATATGTTGCATATTTTATATATTTTAATATATCCGATTAAATTCGACAAAAAGATTCTCTTAGATGCACGGAGCCTGCTGGATTCGAGATTTTTTCGATATACATCGAACTGGAACAAATTGAGTCTTGTTTCTAGTGATCTGGCTTGCATTATTATTTTGATGGGCATTCGTTGCGAAAGACGTAAGATTTTATGTTTTTGCACCATAATTTCAAAACACGGTGCAGAAACATGAAATCTGGCGTCTTTCGCAGCGAATCCCCACCACATAATCATTAGAAACAAGAACCAATTTGTTCAACTTTGATGTATATCGAAATAAATCTCGAATACACTTATTTTTGTCAAATAATACATGTACATTGAAACCCATCAGGGTCCAGCTAGGTGACTATATATATGGGATACTGAAACATGGCAACATTTCTATAAATTAGGGGACCAAGTGATGAGTGTGGCCTACACGTAGGTATATCTAGTCCGGTCCTTACATGGTTATATAAAATCTAAAATGAATTGAAGTTTTCTGCCAGGTTTGATTCATGGTGTATACGACACGAAAACGTAACAGCGAAAGGGGTTGACGACGGTGGATATGTTTACTGGTCCTATATGCTACTTCAAATTTGTATGATTCTCACCCCCCCCCCCCCCACGCTTCGCGACTAGAGGTAGATGAAAGTGTGTTTTAAACACAACTGAGAAAACCCGAGGATGACTAACTGTAAAGTACGCGTGGGTAAGAACGGTTTATGACAGTGTCGAATATATTCTACAACTTCACCGGGTGGGGGTGAGGGTCGCCTAGATTTTGAGGCCCTATGCAGCGATGATCGCCTGGCAAGCCTATATGTGTGTAGGTAAATCCAGCACTGGCACATAAGGCTTTGAAAGACACAGACATGAAGAAATGGGATTTAACGTCCTACTCCTAACTGATGCCTTCCGTCTTACTCCAGTCACACGCAGTTTAACGCGACAATTCATATTGTAGTTATGAGAGAAATTTTGCCCGGACAGCGGTGCTAAGGCCTACTCTTATATCGAATTCCAACTGCCAAGGGATATTTAGGTGCATGCCAATGTTTACACGGTACCTCGGTTTTTCGTTCCATCCGAACGACTAGACAGCTGTCCTTCATTGTAAGACCCTCCGTCCTACACTACTACTGAAAAGGGGAAAGCATACGTTGGAAAATCCTGATAAACTTTCTCGGCCAACACTGGCAGGGAACCAGCGACCTACAGCTGATAGGTTAGCGAGTCAGGTCTTATTACCCACTTAATTATCATCGTGGTTCCCCACTGGCATATTTAACGATCCCGTCTGTTGTGGTGAAAGTACTGAGTGAAAGCGGTGAGCATAGCGAAATTTGAAGGAAAAGTTGGAGTCTTGCAAAGAGACAAGAATTAACATTAAAGTGAATGGCAGCCCACGGCTTTTACCTTCATGGAATTTCGTAATGGTAATTTAAAAGCTTGCCAAAGAATTAACTCGAGCAGCTTTTGTGTGTCGTAATAAATCACTTGTAGCTCTACTTATTGAACCCCATTCAATATTATATTTGTAAAATTTAACTCTTTTGTCACGCTTTTTACGTTTATTTACACAAAATAACAAAGGTCTGTTTCAGCTCTGTTTGACAATGACGCTGGTCTATTTTTAGCTCAAAGCGATAGACACGCTTCACTCGGCCGACCCGAAAATTTCAACGGTAAGACACCGAGGATTAGCGGGAACGTCCGGTACCGAGATAGACTCGGTTTTTAAGACTAGATAATTTTTGTGGATTTTTTACGATCATGTTTACAGACTGGATATTCTAGTCTGCGTTTAAACAATATGGCGGCTTATTTGTCATAATTTTACAAGTCTGGTAAATAAACGTGATTTCATGCGAAAGTAAACGGTGAACCGTTATTTAAAACTGTCATAATATACAAACAAGATGGCTGCAACACAACTGGAACAACTTGAAGATGGCATGATACAGGAACTAACGAAATTATTGTGGGGAAATAATGTAAAAGACGATGTTTTCGACCGGTGGTCGCAAGGTGCAGACTGTGGTTTTGCCACTTTCGATTTAGCTTGCTTTCATGTTTTGAATTAAATGTTTAATGTAAATTTAACAAAGGCTGATAGTGGCACATTTGCCTGGGTTCTGTCTGAGCAATCATGCACAGCAGAAAATGTAGTGTTTTCGTAATGTGTGAACAAACTAGGCTACCAGTACTCAATTATTGTGATTGATTATAGTTTATTATACTGTCTGTATATCCATTCCATTCCATGTGATGATGGCATGCGTTTGAAATCGCCTAGGGTAAATAAAATCCATTGTACGAATACGTATTACGTATTCCTTGAAAACTTGCATTGGGGAATAGGGCCTACCATATGGAAGCTAATTAATTATACGTCACTTGTCTTAGATAATTTTGTACGAAGGGGTGACAATTTATCTTCCCTTATATTACTCTTGTCAAAACTATCAAATAATTTTGCTGGTTTGTTTACGTTATGAACCCAAAAGTCGAGACATGCTTATAATAAACGTTAGTAAAAGGGATATCTTTGGAACAAAATAAAGTTTGAATTACCTGCCATAACTTCTGACGTGAGCTTTATTTTGATCATAATATTAGTGTAAAGGGTTAATTTTCTTGATTTTGTTTACAGGTTTTGTGTTCAGTGAAGATGAACCTTCAGCTTTAGTTCAGTTAGAGGGTGGACCATGTGCAATAATAGTTCCTGTACAGGCTTATATCCTTAAACATATATTGTTCTCTGATCAGCCAAAACCAGAACTCTCAACCATATCAAGTAGGTAGAACTCTTTTATTGCTTCTCGATTCACAGTGTAAGTCCCAAAATGATGTATCAGACTACTCGCCCTGCAGACAAGCACAAAACTTGAAACTGCAATATAAATCTCAAATTGCATAGATAAGTAATCCTTCATGGGTTATTTGTTTTGCAAATAGAATAAATACTGGTAATTAAAGCTGTGACTCTCAAAAGTCAGTAGCCTACTGTTTCCTTCTTCTCCGATTAGCACCCTAGATGGCAGCCTATTTAAACTATGGTAGCATCGTGCATGTCATTGGTAGCTGTCTAAGAATAATATTTCTCATGATATTTTGTTTATATTTTTAGATGAAGAATCTTCCAACTACCTCTGTAAAGCTTTAATAGAGATATTGTTGTCATTGAATACTCAAACATATTATATTATAAAGCTACCTGGCAATGACGGAGCGGATGCAAGCCAAGGTAACAGTGAAAATAGTGAGAGCGGAGAACGGGATTCCAAAAGACGTAGAATTGATAGGGAAACATTCCATTCTAGATTACGGTATGTTATTGAATAATGTTTGCAGGAGTGTGAGCATGTCTATGAAATGTCGTCTATATTATTAATAACTGTCAAGGCTTCTTGAACATGCACACCAATAAGTACAAGGGTGGACCTCAGATTTTTGTCCATTCCAATCAACTAGGTGCTTTTCCTTGCCTGGCCTTGTGTCCTACACTGCAGACAAAGGGGAATAAGGTTGAAAAATCCTATGGAACTTTCTCGGCTAACACTGGGATCAAATCTGGGGACCTTCATGATAGGTTAGCTAACACCATACTTATTGAGCATGTTTGGAATGTTTTTTATCTGATGTCAAAATACCACAAATGTCATGTTTGTAGTCTATTGTTTGAGCAATTGTAATTTATGGGCTGATATCGATGGTTAGGACACTGAGCTTATTTAAGGAAGATCAGTCAATATATTAAAGATACATTATGTAAGATTTAGATATAATAGTTAAAAAGTAGATAATGAAAAATAAAGATATGAAATTATAAATGTTGAAAGTTTTGACAAGAAATAACCTAAAATTCAGTAAATTGTAGCAGCTGATTGCCGATAGCAGTTCCCAATCTTTGATTGTCAAGTACTATTGTAACAATAATAAGTCTAAATTTTTAGTCCTATCGGCAGTCTTCTCGAGTATCGACCATATTATTGTTTAACACAGATATGGCAGGCATTGTCAATATCTAGAGTGAGAGAGAGAAATAGGGTTTAAAATCCACTCGACATAAACTAGGTCATTTTGGGGCTGACACATGGTTCAATTTTATTTCAATAATTCGCTTGCGCATAGGTGTCTTTAGCAGTGGGAAGAAACCGAAGGACCTCGAGAAAACCCACGAGGTTGGACAGTTGCCATTATCTAAGCCATCTGATGGTCCTAAGAGTTGATTATGGGCTTGTCATGTGAATAAATGTCTTAATAATGATTTCTATAACATTTGAAGGTAGTAAAAAAAAAGCTGTAATAGAGAGATTTAACTCTAACATGATGCATCTTTAAATTGAATTCAGATATTTTAATGGAATTTTAAAGAAATATATGAGAATAGTATATTGAATTGATATCATTTAGAAACTTTCTGTTCTTTATTACAGGTGTTTAAAATGTGAAAATGATAATCAGATGAAAATAGCAGCATCCTCGTTACTATCGGATTATCAAGATAAATATGGTGTTTTATTATTTATGTATTCAGTATTATTATCTAGGGTAAGTTTTTAATTATATGGTATAAATAAACATTATTTTAACCCTTTAGTGGAGTCATAGTAACTCAATGATTACAACACTGGCTTACTAACCCAGGAGTTCCAGGTTCAATCCCAGATCCCAGTGTCTAGTCGTTTGGATGGGATAAAAAACTGAGGTCTTGTGTACACATTAATGTACATGATAATTCTATATTTTAGAATGTGAGAATTATGTATTTTAGAATGTGAGGATTCTATATTTCAGAATGTTAGAATTCTATATTTTAGGACGTAAGAATTCTATATTTTAAAGAATTCTGTATTTTGGAATGTGAGAATTTTATATTTGAAAGAATTCTGTATTTTAGAATGTGACAATTTTGTATTTTAGAATGTGAGAAATTTGTATTTTTGATGCGAGAATTCTATGTTTTAGACATGAAAATTCTATATTTTAGGGAATTGAACAAGTAAAGAATGAAGTTGAAGACCAAGATGATCCTCTTATCGATGGTGTACATGGCCATGGAAGGTAATTAATAGAAATATAGTAAATAATAGATAAGCCTTCCAATCTTATAAGAATTAAATCTTTATTTTCATTTTGCTACACCCACATTGAAATGGGTCCATTGGTGAACTCGATCATCCAGATTTATTGTTTTAAGAAAAGTGATCATCCTGTGTTTGTGCAGTATTTTAATTTATATACATTAATCAAAGCAGCCTATTGAATTACAATAATCAAAGCAGCCTATTGAATTACAATAATCAAAGCAGCCTATTGAATTACAATAATTTATGTTAATTACTGTGGCCCTCATGTTACTTTGTAGAATCTTGTGGAAGCTATAACTGCTTGATATTTATATATATATTATTCATATAGTAAGAAAATCTTCTGAATGGTTAACTACAAGACTATTAGCTACTTGAACCCGCTATGTGATATCACTCTCATAAATAAACCCCAGTGCCCTGTGGTGTTAGTGACTTGGGAATGCCACCTTTGTATTTTAACAGTTAACAGTAATGAATTTTTATTTCTTTTTCAGCCAAAGTTTAATTAATTTATTGTTAACAGGAAAAGCTATATCTAATGTATTTGATAATGATAAAGATGTATGTGGTCTGGGTAAGTTTCGCTATCATCAGTTTGTATCAGCATTCTCAAACCTTTAATTTAATAATCATTGGTACTTTCTAGCTGATACATTTAATTTGCACATTATGATGATTCCAGTGATTCTATGGAAAACACAAATCAAAATTTTAATTTCTGAACTTAAAGTTGCTCATCTTCATTTGCATTTTCCAGACAATATCTTAATTTTTTTCAGGGCTTAATCCATGCTAACATGTACTCAAATTGATAATTTAATTAAGAAAATAAAATCAAAATGTAGATAATCTCAAGGCTTGGATTTCAGTCCGTTTAAACAGATGTTGACAAATTTTCAACTCATGATATCTTTGAAAAATACTAAACAGAATTGAACTGTTTTGGGACTGCCCTTTCTATCATTTAACTTGTATTTTGGAAAAGATTAAAAATTTCTAAAGAGATGCTCAGAGACTTTAATGAAATAAGTAATTCTTGTAATAAAGGAGTTAATTTTATATTTTTTAATAGTTTTACGAGGTATACCACAGCAATCTGTAGTTGGATTCCTGACATTATTAGAACATATGAGATACTGTGAGGTAAGTTACGACTTCTATTGTGATTAATCATTTCTTAAAAAACACTTTATGGTCAGGGAAATAAGAACTTATTTCTCCAACACTTTATATGAAATGAAATGGGGTTTAACGTCCTACTGTTCTGCTCCGACTGGTCGAATGAAGACGGGCATGGCATATACCATACAGAGTGCTATGAGGGAAATTTTCTTGGGACAGCGACGCTACGACCTACTCTTATTTCAAGTTCAAGTTGAATGAGTACACAGGACCTTGGATTTTCGATATTTAAATGACTACATAGGAGAATTTTGATACACCAACTAAAAATTAAGTTTGTGGACATTGTTAATGTATAGGTTAGTTATTGTTATTTATATTTCTTTTATAGATTAGTTATTGTTATTTATATCTTTTTATAGGTTGGGTGGTATTTAAAGAATCCGTGTGTACCTATTTGGGTATTAGGTAGTGAAACACATCTTACTGTCTTATTCTCTAAGGTAATTTCAAACTTATACAAATCTCATATATTTTCTAATGTACTGTTAAATACAGGAATGAAAGCCCTACAGTATTGTGTATATGATAATAAATACAAAGACTGTTATTTAAGGATAGCTGTCTTCTATAAGTTGGTTTATTCAGCTATAAAATCTGTGTGATTGTCTAGTCATTAAGATAGGACAATGAGTGAACATACACCATTGTGAATATTGACAGTGCACATAATATAAACCTGATATCATTCTCCTACAAAACGGTGTGCAAGCAGTCGAATATGTGCATCAACAAGACTAGACGTGTGCAGACACGTGCATAAATCAGTCAGACATGTGCATAATCCAGCTCCCTCATATGCATCTCATATGCATATGTCTTGTTTGACACATGGCGTTTTTGTGAGTCGATTAGATTAGGTTTTGATTTGCTAGTACGATTTGGTATGATTTGATTTGATTAGCTATGGTCCACAAATGTGAAATTTGATAATTACGATTTGGTAAGATGGCTGCCATCACGGACACCGATCAGAAAATTGTCTCTGCTAATTATTGATGACTTGTTAAAGACAAATGAAGGTTATCTACGCAAAAAAGGAAAATGGTTGCCGTTAGAAACAATCTCCTAAGTCCAACAAGTTCAAGTATTTTTTTGAAAACTGAAGTGACAAAACATGTAAAAAGTGTCCTGAGAAAACCTAGGATCGAGGAATATATTGAAAAAACTGTAAATGAATAAAATTGCTTAGAGGTGATCTAACATTCTTGTGGACTATAAAGTTAACATTAAACACGTCAAATGCGTTTTAAAAAAAATCTTTTTTTTATGGAGAAAAACAACAATAAGCATTAAAAATTACTTACGACGTCGAACATTCCGCCATTTTGAAAAAGTCAAATCTAATCGCCTAAACACCTCCTGGGACGATTAGGTCGATTTGCCTAATCAGTTGAGTTAAATTGTCTCACAAATGTAATGATTAGCATAATCAACTTGGTTCACAAATGCGTATAATAGCTAATCGGTCTAATCTAATCGGTTCACAAAAACGCCTACAAAGTTCACCGACATATTGAATAAATATATTATTGATGAAAGTCTTACTTGTATAATGTATGTATATATTAAATGTATATGATGTAAGTATATGTATATAAGTATGAATATATGTATATTTTCAGGAAAGAGGTTTAGTTGATACAGACAGTCCTATTAAAACAGCTCAACAAATCTTTAGTTCTTTTGATCCTGAAGGTAATCTTTTTTCTCACATTTAATGTGTTAGTTAAGGTCATGGTTCACATTATTTTATTTTACAGCTTAGAATATACACCACAAATATTCATAGACAAGGGGTGGCCAACCTTTTACAAATATTAACTGTGCAACTTGAGATGTGCTTTCTTGAATTATGAAAACATAAGAAACATAATTTACCAATGTCATGATCATAAAGTAATATGGATGTAATAATAATGAAGTAATACAGATGTAATAATAATAAAGTAATATGGATGTAATAATAATGAAGTAATACTAGTTTAGGTAGTAATACAGATGGACATAATGATAATGGAGGTAGTAATACTAATGTAATAATAATGCAGTAATATGAATGTAATAATAGTGTAGTAATATGGATGTAATGATAATGTAATAATTGATATAGATGTAATATTAATGTTTGTTTATAATTATAGGTAATGGGTTTATACAAACAACACAACTAGGTGATGTAATGGAAGCATTAAATTTATTCTCTGACAAAGAATAGTAAGTAGTATATAATGTACCGTTATCATTGACACCTGTCACTAGTTGTAGCTGTCAGAAAAAACAAACCTTAGCCAGTTTTGTTTGGTTGGGGGAGGGGGGCTGGTGAACAGTACTTAGCTTTAGATCATAAGGTCTGTCATTGAGATAAGTGGCATAATTTTGATGCCAGGCTTGTATATGATAAGGAGTAGGGTGCTCCATGGGTCTTCCGGTTTTCTCCTACTGCTAAAATATCCCTATATGCAGGTGATTTATTGAAATAAAGATTATCATATGTTAGTTCCAAAATAAAATAAGTTTTGATGTGTGAATGTTGAACAACATTTATCTCTTGCTCTGATTGAAATCTCAACATGTCTTGTTTAGGTTGAGTGGATTTTAAAAATTATAGCATAAAACATTTAAAAAAATTCTAATCATGACAGTTGGTTGAATTATTTTTCAACTTTGTAGAGATTAAAAGCATGTGCGCGCTGTATCATGAAGCCTGTCATTGAGTTAACTGGCGTGGTTTCGAATCTCTGGTTGTACGTGACAAGGGGTAGGGTTGCCTGTCCAACCTTGTGGGTTTTCTCCTGGTCCTCCGATTTCCTCCCACTGCTAAAGACCCCAACGCGCATGCAAATTATTGAAATAAAATTAAACCATGTGTTAGTCCCAAAATGACATAGCCTGTGTTGAGTGGACATTAAACCCTCCCTCTATCTCTCTCTCTCTCTCTCTCTCTCTCTCTCTCTCTCTCTCTTAGTGATTATTCATTTGGTTACAAATTTGGAGTAATCTCCCTGTTTATATTTTCATGAAAAAATACAATGCAGGCTAAAGTTCATTGCTGATTGTTGCATACGAAAGAGCCATATTATTACATTTCATATTTTTGGATACTAAATTACAAACTCTTTTTGACCGACTATGTGGGATTGGATGACAATTATTTTGGGTTTTGACATGGGCTACATTGATACTGGTGGGCATATACTTGTGCCAGGCAAACCCTATATATGTTTAAAATTGCAATTAAATTTTGATTTCAGTGTAGATATAATGAAAGGTAAATTAGATGGTGAATCTCTGGGTATTATTACATCAAATAGTTTTTTGGGTGAGTTTTATGCTGAAGAATTAAATAATGGTGGGACACCTCAACAGTTTGATGTACAACATTATAATGGTCTGGCTAGATCCTGTCCTAATAAAAAGGTGAGTTCTCTTATTTCATTCATATTTCTTAAATAAGGCCATTGAAGTGAGGCATATAAATGCAGTGTTAAAAGGCTAAATCTATTTGTTAAGGCCAGCTCAATTTTTGTCAAGGTCGCTGAGATGTAAATAAGGTTAGGGTACATGATTGTTGGCGAAATTGTAAGTTAGGGTAAACATTAGGGCTAGGTCCAGGGTTAGGGTTAGTGTTGGGATTAGCACTAGCTCTGTATACATCTGGTGATCTTTGACCAAACTTGAAGTTGGCCTTATCAAATAGATCTAACCGTGTTAAAATGCATTGAGGACTTGTCTGCAGTATCACCCTAGGTAGAAGTGGATGTTAAGCCCAATTTCAAGTCAAGTCAAGCATTGAGGGCATGTGACAATATGACATCAATGTCCAATGAAATAATTGCTCAATCAATCCTGGTGACTATTTTTACTTCATTTCACTGAAGTATCAGGAAAAAGTGTTGGGAATACAGTCAAGACTTCAAAGTTTATTGGTTATTGTTTCAGATTAAAAATTTGCCAGTGTTTATATTATAGGTTGTATTTTGTTTCAGATTATTAATCAGTGTATTTATTGTATTTTGTTTCAGATTAAATATATACAAGGTACAGCTCAGTTACCAGATGAAATAGAACTACAGATAGTTACTGATACATCTCCTATAAAACTCTGTTTACAAACTAAATGGCCATCTATAGAATTACGCTGGAATATGGATTATATACCCTCTCTAAATTAAACTAGTCATTCAGCTTTTAATATATTTCACTAGAACAAAAACAATAAATGTACAATAATAGACCATGATATCCTTGTATGTTAATAGGAAAGGCTTTTAAAAAGGACATGACCACCTTTCTTCTGGTGAAAAATGATGTGATTATATTTCATGTGTTTATTTATTTTGTGTAATGTATATTAAAGATATCCATAGATTAACCCTTTAGCATGGGGACTCCTCGAAACTACGGATCCATCTAGAGCCTTGAACTGCCAGAGTCATGTGTATAGTTACAAACTATTTCTATGGCTGAGGTGATTAAAAGCTGTATAGTTTTGATCAGTCAGAATATGAGCTAAAAAGTCTACGAAAAAAAATTATTTCTTTTCTCTAAAGAGTAGTCGATCAGTGTTTACATGTACAAAGGGTTAAACTGTTGTTTTGAAATATAACTAATATAACTCCTACCCATTCACAATTAAAATAACACATTAGATTCATCTAATTCAACACGTTAATTTTTATCGGAATGAAAGAGGTCTTGTCCTATGATTGAACAGTGGCGATATTATGATTTTCCATCCGGCTTGATGTGGTGCAGGGACCTCCCTCAAAAAGCTTGGATATGGTTAGCTTTGAATGAGAAGTACATTAATAGATTTTTAAATAAATTAAGTCTGTTGGATGTGGGGGTCATGCCACTGATTTTATATCTTATCTAGCAGTTTATTGATTTTAACACATGTCACAGCATATATATGATAATATGACTATCATCTGATAGCATTACAGTCTTCAAACATAGTAATACTAAACATTTATGTCATTTGCTAGACATTCCTTCTTTATTACAATTGTCAGCCATGTAAATTTGTGTACCTCTGTGGGGCTCTGATATTTCACTTGATGCCATATTTATTCATCATTGCTGATAATTCTGTTTACCATTTCTTAAACACTCTTCTTAAGCTAAATAAACTGGGTAAACTTTAGTGAGAGACGGCTGTTTAAACATGACACATGTATATGTACCATAATCCTTTAGGACTGCTCATTCTTTCTATAGACCTCTGTCGTATTTGCATCTGATAAAAATACAATCTGATTAAAATACATAGAGGATATTTGTCGTTTTAGAGTGAATAACATATTTTATTTCATCGAGAAGCAAGAAAACTTATATTTTTTACGAATGCGTAGCATGAGTGAAAATATAAACGTTTTCTTGCTTAGAGATGAAATAAAATATGTTATTCACGACAAAACGACAAATGTTCTATTTATTTTATGATTTTACAATCATTTTAGGTAAAAACAACATGGACTACTGCTAGCCAGTGGAATAACACTTTTATTTCACTGATAAAACGCGGTATTCCACTACTGATCATAAAATAAAGATTTATATTTCTTTTCGTTTTTTTATACTTTCGATGGCCTACACTACATGAAGATCTGACTAATTGTTGTGGGAGGTCGTGCCAGAGGTCATACGAGTGGCCTTTGGCCCTATGACATCAGACATTGATTAATCAATCAGCATTGAAGTTTCTAGGGGTTATCCAAAGTTCCGTGCACATCACGCCAAAAACTCGCCGTAACAGAACGTTTCATTGGCTAATTTAATTCCTCGTATCAATTAGACATCCTGTTGTATAACAACTTTTCCAGATCTTAGTGTTTTGAATACAAGTAAAACAAAGTTTTGAACTATAAAAAAAACGAAACGAAATAGGATCTGTGTTTTAATGAGATTGATAAAAATACTATAAAGAATGTGTCCAGTATGATTCAAGTCTCTGATTGTCAGGTAGTCCCTTTCAAACTAGTCTCGGTCACCCAGAACCTCCTAGTCTTCAACGTACAGAGGATCTGAATGATAGAGAATACTTTCAAACTACAATATCACTTCAAAAATAGTTAAACTCTGTTCAGTATTTTACAAAGATATGATAAATTGACAATATGTTAATATTCGACATCCACTGTAGATGATATATAGGATATATTGAAAACATGCCAGCGCACTATAGCTTTTGCTGCAATCTGTGGATAAACCTATTTTAATCTGATTGAATCAAAGTTAGTTGATATTTGGATTTTGTTTACTTAATGAAATGTTAATTAATTGAATTTTGTACATTCTTAACATGGATTTAGCTGTGAAAAATTTAATATTTTCTTAAAAATGCAAATGGCCATCAGCGGCTTTATATTGATTACATTATCATTAAATATTGTAAATCTTTAAGATCATTTGTTAAATAATTTGTTAAAGATGCATTATGTCTTTATTTTGGTTTCAAATGTTGTATAGACTATTATTTAGACATATATTCACATGACAAGCCTATAATCAACTCTCTAGTGCATCAGATGGCAGGGATTTAAATGGATTTAATGATGTAATGCCGAAGTAACGCTAAGTCTTGAATAACAAGTACCGATGTTACGGTAATAAATAATCTGTGCCACATCTTGTCAAAAACTTCAAACAGTGGTAACTTTGCTCAGAATAAAGTAATTTGAAGGAAATTTTCAATACCGGTATATTCATTATCTATTTTTGAACTATTAAAGCAAGAACGGCCAGCTCTTTATCTAAATGTTAAATCATGCATCTTTAAATGTAAAGTTAAGTAATTGCATGACAATTCTCCTACTTGTTACCAATCATTTACTAGTACTTTATTTTAATGATTTATTAAACATGTTTGTTAATGGTTTCTTACCATGACATCAATATTGTAATATCTGTAATCATCTACGAGTCATGGTCACAATGTACAGGCTTCACTTACTCATTTATAAAATCTATCCGATATCCAAACCATAAAAATATTATCGTTTTAATAACTTGAGTCAGCTGTTGATTTGATCATTTCTAATTATTATTAATCACTGTGGTGATATGTTAGTGATCATAGATGTTAACCTCTGATGTTTTACCTTAAAATGACAAGACCTCTATGAGTATGCCGCTGACTGATAAACCATAAGGCCTTGAGATTGATCATGATTTTGCCGAAAAAGGTTTCTCAGGATTTTCCATCCTGCTCTTCACTTCTCGGTGGTGCAGGACAGATTGTCTTGCAAGGAATTCAGTTTAGTCGTTTGGGATTAATGAAAAACTGAGGTCCTGTGTGTATAGTATTTGCAGCATATTAAAGCTTTTGGTAGAGAATTGAAATATCAGTTGCGCTGTAAATCAAAGAACTTTGCTTTCTAAGGTTTTAAACCTCATTAATAGGGCACACATATCAAAGTAGTTGTTTGTTTCGAAGTAGTCTGGGTAGGATTTTAAACTGGAATGCAGAGTTAACATAAAATGGATTAATTATCAATGGGTATTGAATATATGCTATGAGGGAGAAGTAGAGTTAGGCGACACTCCATTAATAGTTGAAAAGGTTGGATAGAATAATTAGATCATCACTATCTTCTTGATATGTATGTTAATTTGGCATTCCATACCCCCAGACACCAACACATATGTCCATGAAACAATTGGCGACAATGATTCCATTCATATATTTTACATGTATAATAATTTATGAACTACATGTATTTTGATATATTTATGATACTTAATGGACCATTTTAATATATTTATCATATTTTATGGACTAGGACTAAGGCTGTGATCACATCTAAACTAGATAATGGACTAGGACTAAAGCTGTGATTACATCTATACTAGATAATAATCTATGTTCACATTACCAAATAAAATTCACTTAAATCAGTGATATGATACACATTTATTTTAGTCTTTTTTAAGATACAAATTTCATGTTTATTTTGGATTATATCCGGAATTAATCGAGCATTACACCTGACAGAACTGTTATATAATACAAATGTTTCTACATTTACATTGTACAAAACATTAATGCACCATGCTATTTCCTGAACTATTACTCAGTGTGAACACAGCTTTATATTTTTATGTAACTATATATTATGTAGGACTGTAGTATACCATGCATAGTTAATTTATGAATCATTTTAAACCTTCATCACATTTTATTTATATTATATCTCATTATAATCAGTATGGCTTCCACTATTATAGAACCCATATGGTCATGGTGATTTTGTTGATAAATGTGAGGTAGAACCACTTAACATCAGTATAAGTCCTGATTCATCATCTATATAATGGGAACATATATTTTTGTTGTGGATCAATGCAAATATTTTAAATTTGTGATATGATATTTATATTACATCTGTCATGTTTAATATTTATAAAAATAGATCAACGCTGGTTACTGTAACATGCTGTCAAGTAGCGACCTACATCTTAAAACCAGCCGAGACATCCTTCAATTACTGTCCATTCACTATTGATTTTTTGATTTTTTTTGGCAGTATTTGTATCTAGTCCAATGGCCCAGCCATTTTCCAAATGCCCGTATGAGTAGAGTGATGATAAAATCAAAAAAAGCGAATTGAGTTTATTTGATTCAGATAATTTCAATTGAGTACCCCTTTCATACTGGAATTTATTGGTCTACTTCCTTCACACTTGATTATCAAGACCACTTCATAAATAAAAATCAAAATCGATTTAAAGCCCCCAAAAAATAAACATCAAGCCGAGACCACACACATTTAAATAAACATTGATTAAAACAATTATGGTCCAAAATATTGATGAATTCTAACTCAAGTTATGACTATTTGAAGTTTACATTGATTTCTATTGATTTCACACCATCTTTGTATGTGTCAATAGTAATAATAAATTAGCTGTACTTTCCCTATAAACTATTTGTATGCTTGAAAGTAAAAGTACATTTTTTTTTTTTACTTTTGATGTATTAGTGAAATATTTGGCTTGTTAGACCTTCGAGATAAAAATTAGTTTGGCTGATTTTCTATGTCATTTCATGGACCTAATCTATTATAAGGTCATGGTCAGTTTTATGTGACATATAAAAACTTAGCACAGACATCTTGATTTCTGCACATTATTCTGGAAACTGTACCAATTAGTCAACATCAATTTGAATTTTGAAACACCTATTAAAAATTTTTTTTCTATTTTTTTGGGGGGGAGGGGGTGAAAAAATAATTTAAAAACAGAAAATTCTTCGTTTCTCTTCCTCTTCTTCTTAGAAGCTTTTAGTTGAAATTTTTAAGTTTTGAAATTACAAACAAACATTGTTCACACAATTAGAGTTGCTATTTATTTTAGGACCCTGAAGAAATAATGATTATATTGCTTTGACCTTAACAAGAAGTAAGCATAAAAAAACCCATAAAATTCTGGAACTAATTGGTTCACTCACAGTTCAAGCAAGGATGAAGACAAGATGGCATTGGGTTGGGTATTTATACTGTCATCACCCCTAGTCTCTGTGTATTTGTATATAGATGTAAAAATTGTTTATATTATTGATATAACTATTATATAATACTAGAGCTTGAATATTTATCTTGCCCATGATACATGTAGGTTCATTATATTATATTGTAGAAAATTAAAAATTGATTATCTAAGAGCAAGTTCATAAGCCTCATATACACCAGTTCATGTGGTATCTACATTCATCTGCCAAAATTGTGGTTGACCCAATCTGATTAAAACACAGATTCTCTGTCGTTTCGTTTTTTATAGTTCAAAATTTTGTTTTACTTGTCTTTGCTACACTAGGATCTGGAAGAGTTGTTATCATTGACATGTTCTGAATGGTATGAGGAATTAGCCAATGAATGTGGTCTGTCACGGCGAGCTTTAGGCGTGTTTTGCATAGAACTGTGGGTAATCCACTAGTAACATCAATGCTGATTGGTTAATCAAATGTCTGACATCATAGGGTCAAAAGCCGCTCGTATGACCTCCGACTTGACCTATCGCTACAACTGGTCAGATCTTCATGTAGTGTAGGCCATCGAAAGTATAAAAAAACGAAATGAAATATAGCTCTGTATATTAATCAGATCGGTAGTTGACATTAAATTTTAAGAATTTCTTAAGTATTTTATTTATGGCGAGCTTCCTTATCACTTCTATTTTTCTTGGTTATAAGAAATATTATACTTTAGTTAAAAATAAGATTCTGGTTTCTCT